CCAGGCAAGAGCCTGGAAGTTTCCCTGTAGGGAAACAGGCTGGAGGTCCGGGACGGGCCCTGCAGGGCCCGTGTGGCTGCATAGTATGCCACACCAGACCTGCGGAGTGTCGGCCATAGCTGGGACCGACACTGTACTCTGCCAGCACGCAGGGGCTGTCAGAGGTCTGGGCTATCGAGGTCTGCTGGAGGCGAGAGAGATTGGTGCCCTGCTGGACCCTCCTCCGGAGTGGGGTTCCAGGGTTGCGGTGCTGCAGCCATAGCTGCAGCTTCTTCCTCAGAGGTCATCTTGTCAGGGTTCGGTGGGGCTGCTGCAGACTTCCACCCGGGAAGTCTTTCGACACTTCGTCATCATCAGATACTGTGGCGCTGGTCTTCTTCTTCACCCTCGGAGTGGCGCTTGGCCTCAGAGGCCTGTTTCAGGGTGGCGCTTACCTGTAGAGGCTGTCTCTGGGTGGCGCTTGATGTTTCAGGGGCTCAGGGGTGTTACGGGTGGTTACTCAGGGTTGGGGAGTGAAGCGCTGCTCATTTCTGAGCAGCGCACTGTGGTTCTGAGGTTACTCTGACAATTCGAGACTCTGAGTTTAATAAACAGTGTTGATACTGTGTGTGGACCATCATTGCTTCACTGTTTCCTGGATGTGATCTACTCGGCTTTCCCTTATGACTGGTTGTGAGGATTGAGTGGAGTGTATTGCACTTTCAGTGTACCCTGTCATATCGCATGGTCAAGTCTTCCGCTGTGTTTATCTCTCCCTGTGCGGTGTGATACTCCTATCCTCTCCCCTTCCTTCTGTGTATGTATGGGCATACTTGGAAGTCTATGTGAGCGAGTGTTGGTCTTCAAACAACAAACAACCAGAATCATAACACACACACACACACACACACACACACACAACACACACACACACACTCGCTCGAATACACACACACACACGCACACCCACACGCACACCCACCCACCCACACATGCACACACCCACACGCACACACACGCGCACACACATGAACACACATGCACACACACCGAGACGTACACACGCACACGCACACACACACAGAAACACACATACACACACATACACACACACACATGGTCTCTCTCTCTCTCTCTCTCTCTCTCTCTCTCTCTCTCTCTCTCTCTCTCTCTCTCTCTCTCTCACGCGTGCGCACGGAGAGAAAGACAGACATCAACAGACTCGAACAGAGGGACCGTGCGCAGTCCCTCAAACGGCCGCGCGCTACTGAGCGCATTTTTTTATTTTTTTATTTTCAATCAATCAATCAATCAATCAACAACAAATCCACCATCAAACAATCATCCAATCAATCAATTAAATCTTTTTTTTTTGGTTTTTTGAACTTTTTCACTCGTTTTAATGTTTTTTTTTTTTTTTAATCTAAGAACGAACCAAAAGAATTAAAAATTTTTGGGGTCGTAGAGCTTTCTGTGCTCTATAACCCCGTATTTTTTTATTTTTATTTTTGCTTTTTTTTTGGCATGGGATGCAGTATAGTACGGCCTTAGTACGAACGGCCGTAAGGCCGTATGATAGGACGTACGGGGGAATACGTAGTCAAAAGCTTTGGGAAAGAAAAAGAAAAAAGACAATGAGAAGTTTCTCGCAACAAACTACGGAAAACGAGCATTATGAGCATTACAAAGAAAAGAACCAGAACAAAATTTACCTGCAGTCGATGGAAGAATCCTGCAAACAGCATTGTCTGCTTCTTGTCTTTGCATTCAATCCGGTATCCAAAAAAGTGGCCTTCCTGTTCATGCCCGTTTTTCCTGTCCACTTTCCAACTAATCATGTTCCCATCTTGACGAGCAAGAAGGCATGATGGTATCAACAGGCTGCTCTTGGGATCATCACAGACCTTATAGGCAAGCTCCATTTTCAACATCAGATCTACTACATCCTGCACACAAACCTCGCATTTCCCAGAAACAGCTTCTGAGAATACGTGTTCTAAAAGATCCACATCAGCGATCCCATTGAAGACTCCACTGGCATTAAATTCTGTTGGGATGAGCTCACCAACGAAACTGCAACAGAACCACTGGGGGTTCGTAATTACAAATGGCATTGGCTCAAACCAAATAACTTGCCCGATGTCATGGAGATAGCTCGCCATGACTTTCAGGAGGAGATTGTCATCCAGCGCAGTCTTACAAGGTCCCGATAATTGTGCTCCACTGGGACTTCTCTCCTGATACTCTCTTGCAATATCTCCTGGCCAGCAGATTCCACGAAACTTGGTCCAAGTCATAAGGGGAATCCTTGATAGACTGGACTTCACCACCAACGTTTGCACTCTCTCCATGATTTGCAGCACATTGGTGTTGTGAAGAAGATCCTTGGCCTTACTGAACAAGAACTTTTTGATTTTTTTTGCATCGCTATTATTTCTCGCATCAATAAGGATTACGCCGTCCACAATATCAAGTGTCTCGTGAAACTCCTCAGACATCCAGCGGACCAGCATATCAGCCCGAGGGTGAAAATCATACAACTTTTGTTTCTGAGTCAAGTGGGGATTGCACACTGGAATCACACAAGGCTTTCTTTCGGCTTTGCAGTTTGTCGCAATGAATCTCAACCAATACCTCAGTCATTGAAGAAGTTCATCCCTCTGTCTCTTCTCAACCTCGGCAGCTGAGGCGTTTCCACTCGAGTTACCAGTGATTACTTGCTCGCATTCGATTACCTGATTAAATAGAAGCAAGAAGATGGGTGGAACTGCCATGTCCCCTCCTAGAGTTGGCATGAACAGATCGTGGATGGTGTGGTACTCAGGTTGTCCACCCAAGTCCCAGAACTGGATGTTGACCCCTTTCGAGGCGACATGGACCATCTCAATGCCCTTCGTTCGAGGTTTGCCAGGCCGATCACCAGGTGTCATCTGCTTCATCTTGTCTATGCAGTACTCCAATGTTCCACGGCAAATGGAATCTTTCAAGGTCGACTTACCCACATGAGGTTCACCCGCCAAAAAACATCTGATGTGGCTGCTGGTAGTGCGTTCCAAGCCTCCACCAGTCTCAAGCAACTGCCGTTCAGTCTTGTTTCTTGACAACTTACGATTAATAGTTTTGTCAGAGTCATAATTGAAAGCAAACTCCTGAAGTGTCTTATTGGACTCCAAGGTAGAGAGCATCTCTGCCCTCAATTCAGATAGGAGTGTCTTAGTTGCTATATGGTTAGTTCGTAAATCGATCTTTTCTAGACAAACATTACTCCGCAACCCTTTCACAATCATTTTCATGTCCGACTCAGTGCCTTCTTCAAAACTAATTTCCAGTTTCTTAAGACTGTTGTTTGTTGCCAGCATGGCTGCAAGGGCATCTATCCCTTCCTGGCTAAACAGCATTTGGTTGTGGAGGCTCACATCTTTGAGTTGAGATCTTCTTCGCACTCGCTGCCCTTGGAGCCCACTTTTCATTTCCAGGGGTGTGACCAACGGTTCTGCAGGAGCATCACCATCAAAGCCTATGTTCATAGATGCAAGGCTTTTGGCTAAAGTGATGAGTGCCCTTTCTGGAACCCACCGAAGCTCGCAAGACTGTAGGCTCTCACTAGCCAGCAGAGCGTGGACTATGTCGACATACATGTCTTCAAAAGCTTCGCTTTCCATGTACTCAAAATAAGCAAGTCTGAATTCCAGCCTTTCTAATGAATGGGCATTGGAAATCATACCTTGAATCAATGCAGCACACTCAATCCAAGCTCTGTCTAATAAGATGTCAAGCGATTTAGCCCCACAGGAGGGCTGCTGAAAAAAATCAGAGAGAATCCGCAAAAAACGGGCAGGTTGATCCAACTGACCCAGACCCCAGATTTTGATTTCTTCAAGGGAAGGAATGGAGTTACCACCTGAGGATAACGCTTTCGCAAGAGACCTCAGAAAACCCTCGATGACGGATATATTCTCACTTTTGGAATAGGGCAGCCATGATTTTACAATATCATCGAAATCGAAGTCGAAGAACTTCAATGAGCCGATGTGCTCGGCTAATACGCCATATGCAGCCACAACTCCGGCCTCCTATCAATGGCATCGTCGCCTATTGAAGCCACAACCCGATCAAAATATCTTTCGAAATCGGAGAAAAAAAAAAGTTTTCTACTGGCTACAAACTCCTCAACAGTCAAGCGGACATGATCCATTAGCTTCTTGTCATGTTCCTCGGATATTTGTTTGGGTGTCAAAAACTCACTAGTGTCCATAGCTGCACAGTGTGAAGTATCCTCCAAACTTTTTCCTTAGTATTTTGAATCAGAACCCAGAGCAAAGAACCACCGTCTAAGCGCCTGGGCACCGGTAGAGTACTCTCAGACTGACACCATCAGCCCCATATAGCTGGAGAACCAAGCACTAATCTCGTCCTGTAATACCACCACGTACAGCTGCCTAGCACTCTTTCTCCCACTAAGAAGATTGTTGCCACGGTTTTGCATAGTTTTCCGTGATCTGGCAACTTTATGTTCTATCGCTTGTCTCAAGGAAAAGGATCTCTCCAAAGAGGACTGACAAGATTTATAAAGTTACAGAAGTCCGTAAACGTCACTCAGGTCGTGTGCCTCACACTTTAAGAGTACTCTCCACGGACTGCCTGCTGTGACTATCACAACGCGGAAAGAAAAGATGACACAAAATTGATCTGATAAACTGCTCTAGAAGGGAGAAACGTGGTAGGACTGTGGCCACCCAACCTCGTGACGATGAAGGGTACACACACACACAATTGTGCTAATAAACAGACATGAGGTTGAATCCTGATGGGATCAAAAAAATACAATAAGGTTTCCTACCGCCTTTCATAAGAAAGGATTTATTCGGGAAAAAAAAAGGTTTAGAAAACCCAGGATGAGGTTGAGTGAGCTGTCTGTCTAGCCATGCTAAATGACTGGCAAATCCAAAGTCAAGATTTTTTTCAGCATTTGACTAAGCTAGAGCTTAGAACTCATCTCTCCTTCCTGCATTTCAGAACAATATCTGCGCACGCATGGAAAGCACAAAACGACAAGGGTGATCACAATTAGGTAGACAGGAAGACACTTCTGAGAAGTCCGTATGAATTACCGCTAGGTGTTATCCTGCAGCCCCTGCTTCTACCGTCCTCACCGAGGTAGAACCCCCGCTCATTATCGCGGTATCTAGACTGAAAGTTGCCTCAAATACAGCTCTAATGACCGGGCATTGGTAGATTCCGATGAAGGCAATGACTCAGTGACTGCAGTCCCGGACTTGGTTTGGTGGCAGTCCAAGGGTTTACTTTGGTTTTTGATCCAGACCAGGCCAGGCATTCCAAACCAACCAACAAGACTTACACTACCCCATGCGTCCACTGCCCCCTTCCTTATTTGAATGTGCAGATGTTCTGAGACTTGACATATTTTCACTGCCCCCGCCACCCCCCGGGTTCCCCAACCCCACCCCACCCCACCCCACCCCAATAAGAAAGAACAAAAACTTCATTAAAACTCATTCTCTAATTTTCTTTTATTTTAATCATAAAAGAACTTACTTTTGAGAATTAGATTTCGTTGGGATTTGAAAGTCATTGAAGTGCTTCAAAGGGTAGATTGAATAATTTTTTGATAGTGAGCTCCTCACCAATAGAAAGGAGCATTTCAACGTTCATGGTAAATTCGACAAACGGAAACAACATTTGACATGCGGCAACTGTTTGAAATATTTATATTCCTGAATTACTTGGGGTCGGTCAGCTCAATGATGATATCTGGAGGCCGTTGCCCTTTTTTTCCCCTTAAATATTTATTCTCTTTCTCCATTTGATTCCCCGGTCAGGATAACTTTGACTCTCTTCTATCTGTCTGTCTGTCTGTCTCTTCTCCATTTGATTCTCCATTCGGGATAACCTTGATTTCTCTTCTCCCTCCCTCTCTCTCTCTCTCTCTCCCTCCCTCTCTCTCTCTCTCTCTCTCTCTCTCTCT